ATTTTTTTTAGGAGCTTTTAGAGCCCTTAGCTAACTAACCCTAATTAACTGGTTAATTAAGGCCCCGAGACCTTCCGGAAAATACAATAAATACACTTTAGGTCAGAAAATTACCCATAATACCTCAAACTGACCAGAATCTGATCCCTGACCTTAGATAAATAGGGTTCCCTAGTTTGACCTCAGGTTGACCCCTAATTTGACCATAGGTGGAAATTACCGTTTTGCCCCTAATAAATCATTAAAAATTAATAAAAATCCCAAATCTTCTCCAAATACTTGGGAACACTTTTTCTGGTCATCCCTGACCTTTGGGAGTGATTCCAATCAGTTTGGAGCTGATTTGGAGCAAAACAATAAAAAAGGCTATTTAGTAGGAAATTTAGAAAATTCCAATAAATACCCCGACCTTTAGAAATCCATAACTAATTGTAGAAAACTCCAAATTAGGTAAACTCACTTGCATTAGACTCCAATTAGGGCCTAGTATTTATTAAAAATTTTAGGTTTCCAGAAATTGGCCTAGGTTAGAAAGTCAACTTTTTGGTCAACCCTAGTCTATAGGATAGGGCCCGAAACTTAGAAAATTCATAACTTTGCCTAGAAAACTCTGATTCCAGCCTACTACCTGTCTAACTACTCGTATTAAGGTCTAGTATTTTCCTAAGATGTTAGAAATCTTAGACTTAGCCTTTTTCCCATAGTGACTTTTTGGACCTTTAGTCTAGTTCCTAGGAGGACCCGGAACTTTCCAAAATTGGCTAATGCAATTTGAACTTCAAATATGAATATCCCAACTCCTTAAAATTGATCAACAAACTGAAATAATTAAAATGGACCCTAATTCACTAATATTTGAACTTTAACAAAATTCCCTTTTCAGACCCCCAACAAACCTGAACTCTAGCTAACTTTAACTAACTATCCTACTTAGGATCTATCCAAACCACACTAGCCTTACACACACATAGAATTGTTTGCTAGGGCACCACTTCTAGAGCTAGGTTAGGCCGCTGGGATTTACTTTTCTGCTGTGTGCCGGAGCTTTCCGTGGATTTCATTGCATGCTGTTTGAAATTGTTGGTGTGTTTGCTTACTTTTTCTGTACTCTGTGATGTGATGAGCGTTAGACTTACCCATAGGTTAGGAGCGCTATATATATACTGTTCTTCCGTGCAGGTGGCCATGCTCAATGCTAATAAAAAGGGGGGAGCATCATAATAATTTATAACAATGTTTTATGCAGGTGCTTGCTCAGCTCCCCCTAAAATGAAATGAGGGCTAAAATTATTAAATTATTATAACTGCTACAGATGGAGCTGCTTAGCCCTCAAAATTAAGAGCATGGCTTGGCACAGGGTCACTGGTGTTAGCATTTTCATTTTTATATAAACTGCTTGGGATTTTTATTAGGATAACCTTGCAGGGATTCTTAGATTTACTGCTTTCAATTAATGTAATTTGTATGTAATAATTGTTAAGAGTTGTGAAAACAACCTTTGAGTCGGGATATTCTTATCCAGCTCGGATTCTAAAAGAAGAAGGCATCCCTAAGGGGAGAGTCTTCTTCCATTTGGAAGATCGAGCTGGATGGCTTTAGATATCCAAAGAGAAAAGGCAATACCCCCATACTGGGGGAATTGTCTCTTCGTTTGGATATTCAAGCCAAGACGGATCCAAGGAGTCTAAGGAGGAGAGATCCAAGGAGTCCAAGGAGGAGAGATCCAAGAAGTCCAAGGAGAAGATATCCAGGAGACTAAAGATTTGAAGACCCAATATCCCACTCAAAGTTGTTGGCGTCTGTCATAGGCTTAGAAATCCGGGTTGTTGGCAGTGGTGCCCGGCCACTTTATTTTCTGCAAATTCTGGTTGTAATAAGGGCAGTTT